CATCGTACCCCCTTAGGGAGTTAGTTGGTTAATTGATCCAAGAATCTAATTTCTTGACTGAAACCAGGATCAGCATTAACAACATGGCTCGTTAGCTTGTTCCAGACTCCCACAACCCTTTGGGTAATGAAGTGCTGTACCTGTTGTTCCCTCTTTTCTCTTGTTCGTGTTTCACTGTTCATTCTGAAGAAATTCACTGTGTTATAAGAGCTCTGCAGCACAGGAATTGCGGGCGATGATTTAAAAAATGCAGCTTCGCTTTCCTGGGATATGTTTAAGGCTCTCACCTCCTAAGGACACCCATCTCTTCTACTGAATGTGTCACCAGCAAGTGTTAATTCTGTTTCAAATGACCCGAAGAGATGGACCGTAGCCAATATCCAGTGAGAAAGATTCTCAGCAAAGAAGTCTCGTTTCCTTCTTGTTTCACTTGGTTGGGTATTCTTTTCTTCTCTCTCACCGTTTACTTCTGAATAAATCAAACGCAAGTGTAAGAGCATCCTAAACAATGGAGTATCCTAGATTAGCATTGCATCAAACGAGTGGAGTCAAATTTCCCAAATTATTGGAGGGACTTAAAATGCTTTCAAGCATTAACCAAGCATTCCTCTGCCTCCCCTCTCATTACCTTCATTATTTACAAATAGTCAAATATTTCCAGCCATTAATGAGGCTTCATACTGTTGTTGAAGAGAATGTGAGCCTGTATGAAGTTATTTACATGTCCACTGAAACTGATATCCATTCTGTTTTTCTTGGCCGAATTTGTCATTGCAAACATATTTTTCAAGTTTACTATTTTGCTAAAAGCTTTTTGGTGACAGTAGGATTGTCCATGCTTTGAAGACCAGAAGTCAAACTAAGTGCAGAGACTGGGATTTATTGTTTTTTTTTTCCTGTAGGACAAGTTTACCAAATGACAAATGTATCCATTTCAAAATATTTATGTAATTTTCCTATTTAGTTCACTCCTTGGCAGTAGCTTGCCTACACAGTCACTTTTTCAGATCAGACCTCATTTATGTAAGAGTTATTTGGATTTCAGTATGATAGGTTGTTAAATGCCAGATACATTTATTCTTAATCAACTAGCCGTTAACACAAGCTAACTGCGGAATCTGGGAGAACACATAATATTTCTTTCGTGTTGTTCAAGCTCAATCCTGTGGTATTATCCCAAACACAAAATAAAAAGGCTTTCGCTTCGGCTTTAACAACAATGGAATAAAAAATATTGGAGTGCTTGAACGTGCACAGCAGTCGTGCCTTCCAAAATGTGTCACTCATTTAAAATGTAAAACAGGGTGAGAGCGCAGTGCAGTTCCAGCAGCCTGTGGTGGCTCTGAGCTGTTGAAAGTGTGTGCTTACGGTCTAACAGTGTGTCTGGAACATGGTGTCTCTCTCTGGGTTTGAAGAGCCGCTGTGTGTTTGCACACCCTTGACCGTGCTGGAGTGGGACAGCCTTCCCTGTACTGTGTCCTTGACCTTGAGCGGCTGTCATTTTGGCTGTGCTGGGTTTCTTTATACCTGCATGCAGCACTCTGAACTGGTTGCCATTTAATTAACACAAGTGCAGGGTGTCGTGTCCAGTCCGCGAAAAAATGGAAATACACAGATTATAAAATTGGAAATGCAAAGAGATTATATTTTCATCTTCGAGACATTGGGCAATATATAAAAAAAGGCAATCTGAAAGCAGTGATCTAGATTGGAGGGTAGAATTTAGATCAAGGGATGTTAAGTTAAAAAATGTGCAACACACTAGTAAGGCCTCATTTACAATATTGTACACGTTTGATCACTCCATTCAGAAAAAAAATGTTACTAGTCTGGAGTCAGTCCAGAGAAGAGCAACCCGATACATCCTTGGGCTCAAAGGGAGGTCCGGCACTGACAGGCTGAAGGAACTGAACCCCTTTAGTCTTGAGAGGGAAGACTGCAGGAGGATCTGGCTCAGTCCTCAAAGGCACTGACAATGTCAACCCAATAGGTCTTCAGATATCAGCTCAATGGTGAAAATCCCATCAGATAAGCCAGTTTCGAAACAATTATAGTTTTTATGCAGAAAGACAAAAGCAGTCTACCGTATCCTGGAAGTTATTTAAGTTGTTCTTTTGTTGATCTGGTAGAAAGACCCTCACTTGTTGTTTGACCTGGTCATGAGAAAATGAAGAATAATGCAGTCTAATGTGGTGTGTTAGCCTGCGCCTCTGTTTTTTTTCCACTGCTGCGATCTGATAGTGTGAGGGGTGATTGCTGCAGGCAGGGGTTTGAGAGGTAGCCAGAGAGATGTTTTTTGATGGTTTGGAAAGGGAATGTTTCACTGCCTGGAGGTGCTGCCATTACCAGCTGCCCTGGGGACCACAGCAGATCACAGCTCCTCACCTCTTTGATTACACTCTCTGAGTTTTCAAAACAGCCCCGTTTCAGCTAAAGGCAGCTCGGGTTTTCTTTGAGGGAAAGGGGGAATCCTTCATTCAGATCTTCAAACTAGCCCTCCAGCTCTTCTCTCTGGTGAGATGTTTGGAGTAAAAAAAGAGTAGATTTACAGACATATTGGCAAATCCCAGTTTCTTCAAAGCAGGTTAATATAGCTTTGGTCTGCAGAATTTCATTTTAAGGACTCGAGGATCACAAGAGGACAGGAAATTAAACCAACGTTGTGCTTCTCCTAACTTTGAAACTTTTAATTCAACAGCAATAAAGCTCTTAAATGACCTAAATACTCCCTAGAGCCTTATATACTGAAGCTATGATAAACGTTGGTGCAGACATTTGAACACTTGCTTGACTCTGCTCTCCCTGAAGGCCTTTTCTTAAAGCTTCACTTACCTGAGAAGACCTTATTTCCTTTATCCTCATTTTTTTTTTTCTGTTCTTGCTCTTGTATAGAAGGATCGGGTCTCACCAGGCAGCAACCTTCAGATTTACATTTCCCAGTATCGACGCCATCAGATTCCTTCACAACCCCCCCAGACACACACACACACGTCTAAAAAAAGGGGTATCAGCTAAAATAAATGTCATTTTAATTCTGTATGGAAGCTTTCACAGCCGCACATCAGAATAACAGCCATATGGCAAGCAGTGAGAAAAGCAGGTTTTCCAATAATTAAAAAGTAATGGAGTGCAAATGGGAGAGGACCCTCCTGTGGTTTCAGGGATTTGTGAACACTCAGAAATCCTAAACAAATGTGCCTCAGTACCAATGTCAGGTGATTACCAAGTTGTGTACTTTTGTTTTGTTTTCAAAGGAAGGTTGAATGAAGTGTGGAAACCCAGCTTGTTCGGTTTAGTATGAGCGAAAGTGCTGTTTCAGGCGGAGCACAAAATGTAAACTAGGCTGAGAGAGAATTAGCCGTGGGTGTGTGTTCTTTCAGAGAGCTGTTTGAGTGAGTTACGATTGGGCACTTTACCTGCTCTGCTATTCTCCCCCCGTTTTGTAAATACCGCTCAAGCTTTTAATGTTCTTTAGCACCATTAAGTGGTCCTTCTGCAGACTTGTATTTTGAAAGCAAAAAAGATTTATTATTAATACTATAGCTACTATAAATCTTTAACAGAAACAGGAAAAATAAAAGACATAATAGTGGCATTATCACACCAGTTGACATCACAGTGATCTTTATTTCAGATTATGCAGTGAAGCCCCCCCTCCACCTACCCAGCTGTCCAAATCATAGAACTCCTTTGTGATCCCCTGATAATTAAAGATATTAAACAGGTTCAAATTTTTCTCATTTCCCAAAGCATCTGTTGTAAAGGTAAAGGCAGACCTATCAGCAACCCACTTCAAAGCACCACGAGCTGATTAATGTTTTATAAAATTGGGGGCATTTGATGATTCACTGACCATTCTCAGAAAGCTGTGCAGGGATGTTATTTTTTTTAAAAAGAAGAACAGTAAGAGTGAGTTGCTTTTCTTTGTGACCTGAATTTCAATGCCCTTTCAGTCCTGACTCCTGTGCTCACTCTCTGGTGAGAGGATGAGTACTGCAGCAGACTCTTTTCTGAGGCTCAGCGACCACTTACAGGGTGTACTCAGGGGGAATCACTGGGAAAGTTTTTTTTGGGGGGGAGCTGAAGACCTTGGAGTGAACTGGGAGAAGAAATCCATACAAATTCCACACAAACAGAAATGGTGCTTCTTTGTTCTTTGGCCAGTTTTATGAAAAAGCTAATGGTGACGTTTTGGAGAAGAAAGATGAAAAGCACCTCATCTGCTATTTGGTTTAAGATCCTACCTATCCTTGGCCGCCTGGTCAGTGCAGCTTTGAACATCACAGTGGTCTGTTTATGATGGATCTTTAAGGAACATGGAGTGTGGAACATGGGACATATGTCTGACACTATTGCTGCTGCTCAAAAAGCCTTTGATTTACTTACCCAGTTATTAATGACAGCAATCAATGATGGAGATATCATCACAGAAGCCCTTATGAAGGCTGAATTTTTCTACATTTACCGTATGTGCATGTATTAATAATGAATACTTTACCAGTCAATGCTATTACTGTTATGACTGAAAAACGTGTTAGGAAAATGTGATATTCTTGCAATGATAATTATAATGATGAGAGTCACTCTGGCTCTTGGGACTATGTGTCTGATGCAGTTCATATGCAATCAAAATTATGCATTGGCATCTTGCTTTCCCTGCCATGCCTGTTGTTAGTTGTGGCTTCATTGACACCTAGTGGCGATGTTGTGTAGTAGGTGGAACTGCAGTCTGTCTGTTGTGTGTCAGCTCAGGTTATCAATGCAAAGAAGTTGTTGATGTCTGGGCATGAGCTTGGTGTGGAAGGGAAATTAAGCAATTTTGTGTAGTATTTCAGTATAGCTGGATTCTTCGGCTCCAGAGCCGAAACATTGTGTTTCCTTTCTTCTCTTTTCAGCATGGAATAAACCTGTACTTGTTCCCTTGTTTAGTAGATGTCAGGATAATGCAGTCTTTTCCGAAGGACAGTATTAGTAATCCTTCTCTCTCTTTCTCTGCGCAGGCTCAGCTGGCATTGGACCGAGGGGCTCAGGCAGTCATTTTTGATGTCACTGATGACGCTACTGCAGCAGCTGAGGTAGGGGTGTCCTCCTGCTGTAGCCGAGCTCGAGGTGCTTTGATCTGTAACCCACCTCAACGCATTCGGGGTGTACCTGCCCACCCCTCCAAAAGAGCAAGAGAACAGCAGCTCAAAACCTAACACAGCTGGACATCCTTCCTCTGTCATGTAGGGAATGAGAGCAGGTTCATAAGTAACCTGAGGTGACGGGACAAGACCATGTGACTCATCTGGCCCCTTCGTGTGCCGGCAGCTAATTGATCTGAGGATATTAGCCACCTGGTGATGCAGGGATTAGCATTCCTGTCTTGCAGCACTGGTGCCCTGGGTTCAATTCTGGACCTGGGGTGCTGTCTGCTTGGAGTTTGTATGTTCTCCCTGTATTCGTGTGAGTTTCCTCCCACAGTTCAAAGACATGCTGGTAGGTCAATTGGCTTCTGGGAAAACTGGCCCTGATCTGAGTGTGTGCGTGTTTGTTTTTGTGTGTATGTGTTCCCTGAGATGGACTGGCCTCCCGTTCATGGTGTATCCCGCCATATGTCCATTGCTGCATGTCCCCCACAGGGTTTATTCTGCCTTGTGCCCATTTTTTGCCAGGATAGGCTTTGCGACCCTGAATTGGAAAAAGCAGTTTGGAAACAGATGGATGTTTCCAGCCTTTTCTTGAAAAAACCCAGGGCATCAGCTTCAGCAACATGGCTGGGCGACTTCGTCCAGTCTACTCAACCCTTTGTGTAAAAGGAAGCACAAAGTTAATTTTCTCTTGAGCTTCATCGGACAAAACTGGTTTTGTCCCCACTTTTACGGTGAAGTAGGTTTGTGCAAGCTGTCCACCAGTCAAAAACTGACCGTCTCCCTGTCTTGTGTGTGCTTGACCGTGCCCAGCTGCGTGACCCCAGGGGCCTGCCTCGTCCCGTGGTGCTTGTCCAGGCCAGAGACGCCGAGGTCCTGATGGGCCTGGTCAACAGGAACGAGGAGGCCATGGTTCAGATTGAGGTCAAGATTGAGCCAAACAAATGGGTGGGTATGAGAAGACCAGATCCAGTAGCTGAGTCAAAGAAGTGATGCCTGTTCTGCATTTCTTGCTGTACTTCTCAGCTATCTCAGCTAGTGTCGTCCCTGTTCACGCTGTTTTGATGGAGTTTCTTTCTTTTTCATGCTGGGAAACTTGTCTGTCTGGGGTCATGTCATGGTCATGTCTGCGGCGTTATGCTTTGGACCAGAGTGTAGAAACAGTTCTTTTGCTTTTGACTGTTCACTCAAGGATAAGGCAAATATAACAGCACAACTGGTGAACAGTATAGCGTTCCTCTGTGTGCTATGTCACTGTTAAGTAACTGTGTGGACAGATACTTCCTTCTTCTTTTGTGCAGCATGACCAACTGCAAAATATCAGCAGTACCCTCAAACCCTTTTAGGCTGGATTCAAACAGTTGGCAATTGATTTTTTTCATCAAAAGGAGAGGTTGTTTTGAGGAATGAACTGTTTACATTCGGAAGTCTGAGTTGAGCTTAGAGAGCGTTCCTTAAACATTCAGCTCATTGTCTGTAGCTGTATTATTTCCTGGGAAAGGTTTCAACTACTTATCAACAAAAAGAGCTTTGGAAAGACAGTTCCTAACATTGGCAAGCAAGCAGATTCCAGCCACTATGACACCAGTACATTTTATATCTTGGAGAAAACCTACAGAAACAAAAACATTATGTTTTGCATTACATTATCCACTCTTTATTGTAATAGAACCTTTTGCATTTTAATGCACACTCAAGATTTAAGACTTAATTTTTTTTCAAATAAACAATGAAAGCTTCTGTCACATTAATGCAAAACATTTTATACTGACTGACTATCAGGCAGATGCACTGTACACGGTGTCCTTCTGTTTAGGATACTGTTAAATCTTTATGGAAGAGAATGGTAAAATGATATAGGAAGGTACTTGACACACGTTTATACTATTTTCAGTGGATTACAGTGAAGTAATCTTTCCATATAACTGTATACCTGACTATAGATGACTTTGTTGAACATTTTGACATGTGTTAGGTAAGAGATTTCATGCATTAATATCCAAATAAGTACAGGTACTACAAATGAAAATTCCCCAAACCTGGAGTTTTCAACTCGGAGGTGTCGAAAACATCTCCAGCTTTCTACTGAAATAGATTGTTATCTTCACTGCAGCCTCACTACGATGTGGGAATCCTGCTCACTGTGGTCCTGGCCATGCTAGCCATCATCATCATCTTCGCTTTCCGATTCAAGTGCAAACAGAACAGGAACCAGGTGGGTGAGCTAAGAGCCAGCTCTGTGGCGCTGCAGGGGGGAGAGTGAAGTACCAGACTTCCCTGAAACGTTGCAGTCTCACTTCCTGGCACAGTCGGCAGCAACAGAAACTCCTGCTGAAAAATCCAAATCTTCCGCTGACGGAAAAACCATCCCCAAGTTGCTCAATTGGTGCATTCATATTGAATGGCATCACAGAGTTTTATGGCGCCTGTAAAGTCCCTGATGCATTAGTCCCTTATATAATCAATATGTGATATCATGAATATGAGGTAAAGTTTTGCACTTTTACCTTTGGGTTACCTGACACATGGTGTGCATGTCTCACCAGTGTCTGAGAGGGGATACGTTTACGAGTTACATTCAGTAGCACTTGATGCCTTCACATTCGTACTAAGATGTGGGGGAGATTCATACTAAATTTTCTATGTGTTGGCGGGGATGAAGAGCAGGCCTCACCACCCTTAGGTTTTTCTTGTTATCCTACCCAGGATTCCATTCACCAGCAGACAGTCCGTGCCATCAACCGATTGGGCACGCGGACGTACACTTCTCAGGGTCGCTCGAGGAACCAGAGGACCCGAGGTGGCAGGGACTCGGGCAGCAGCAGCACCTCCACTCCTGTGTGCGCTATCTGTCTGGAGGAGTTCCTGGATGGGCAGGTACCTGGGCTAGGCACACTAGCAGATCACTGGAAAATATTTCGATAACAAACAGAAATGGAGCAGCCTGCATCTGGCCTAGCCAAAGATGCATCATCAGGAGATCCCACGTAGATGCTCACCCTGTGGCAATTTGGATTTCCAGAGGGGGTTCTCTAAAATACCACAAGGTGACCCCATCGCCTTTCCCTCCCCCCAAGCACAAAAGCGTGCATTTCTCCTTAACAACCCCAATGACACCATTTTATTTTATAGATATAAAGAAGGAAACAGTATTTACTTGTAACAGCGACACCTGTAAAAAACCACTGTATGAAAGAATAAACATTCTTTGCTCGTGCTTTTCCCAGGACTTGCGAATTATTTCTTGTTCTCACGAATTCCACAAGGAGTGTGTGGACCCCTGGCTGCTGCAGCATCGCACCTGTCCCCTCTGCGTGCACAACATCATGGGTAACGTCCCGAGGACAGTCGAGCGCCGTGACCTGTGTCACTTAGTCAGTATGCAGACAGAAGCACCGATTATCAGCTGACAAGCATGTAAAGATCCAGATGTAAGACACTGTAGCATGACTGTGGGAGTCGGGAGCAATTATCGCGAGACAGTTAATTAAATGGGCAAAAGGTGGGTGAAAACTAGCGGTGAGTTAATCAGGGTGTTGGCGTTACAGTGTAATTCTTTTCATCCCCTCCTTAGAAACTGATGGCGTCCCTCAGTCAGCGCATCCCAGCAGGCACCAGCAGAACATGGAGCACAACCAGAGGGTCCTGCTTCTCCATCACTACCCCCGGCACCCCCCTCTCCACCAGCACCCTATCGCCATCCCTGTGCACCATTACCCCCGGCCGCCCACCGGGCAGCTGGGGCACTATGGCATCTCCCCCCCCCTGGACCCCAGAGCCCTCCGCTGCGTGCCCAGCAGGCATCTGGGGGCGGGCCCAGGCAGGTGCAGCTATCACCGGAACGAGGGCCTTCTGGGCCACTATCACAGGACTAGCACCGCCTGCCGGCCCCCAGCAAACCCGGAGCCTCACTGCCAGCCCCGCAGCTGCGCCCCTGCCTACTGCCCCTCCTGCGCGGCTCCGCGCGGCGGCTCCAGCTCCCGCCTCCCCTTCGCCCCCGGCAGGGGCGCGGCTCCCAGCCGGCAGGACGATGGCAGCTGCTCGGGGGGGAGCTACCGGACAGAACGGAGTGGCTACCTGGCGGACGGCCCGGCCAGCGACTCCAGCTCAGGCCCCTGTCACGGCTCCTCCAGCGACTCCGTCCTCAACTGCACAGACGTCAGCCTCCAGGGCGTTTACGGCAGCTGGTCCACTTTCCGCAGCTCCCTGAGCAGCGACTACGACCCCTTCGTCTACTGCGGGCAGGGGCAGGGGCAGGGGCAGGGGCAGGGCAGGGGCGCGGGGGACAGCCGGGACGTAGGGGCCAGGCCCAGGTCTTTGGACTCCATGGTGAACCGGACCTGTCCGGAGGAGAAGGTGTTCAGCCACGTCCACTACCACCGGCACCGGCACCATCACTACGACGAGGTGGACCGCGGGCAGGGGCCGGACAGGGGATCGGACGAGGAGCTGAACGCCGGAGCGGCTCCCGTCCCAGATAGCATGATCCCGGAGGCCGACCCTTCCCGCTGCCAGCCCTGCCAGTGCCCTAAACCGGCCCCTGACCCCCACAGGGCGGATGTGCCAGAGAGCGAGCTGCCAGCGGACGCTTGCTCGGGCACCGCCACGCTCCCTCCCCCAGCTCCCCAGCCACCCTGCTGTCACCACGGACCCAGCCGGCACCACCGCCGGAAAAAGGGTGGCGTCCCCGACGGCCCGGCTGTGCACTTTCACCAGAGCCTGGACACGCAGGAGGACTGCAGCATTTACGTCCACTACGGGCAGGGGGCGGGCTACTGCTGCCCCCCGGACATGCCTCCCCTCCTGCCCGTGCCCCTGATCCTGGACTCGGCCGGCTCGGCGGACTGGCCGTGCTGCTCCGGAGCCCGTGTGGTGTGGCGGCAGCAGCTCCAGCAGGCAGAGTCCGAGCCCCAGCTCCAGGCCACAGGAACCGCCCTGGACAGGCCCCACAGGCGGCTCCAGTCAGGGCCCGAGGCTCCGCCGGACATGTGCTTATACTGCCAAAATGTACACACCCATCAGGGTAGGTCCTCCGCTCCTGACCTTTGCACATTTCCTTAGCCACCGGCGCATCAGATGGGTTCAGATTGTCTGTGCGCACCTGACAGTGCTCCACATGTCTCTGGAGTGCTGTGCTGCGGACAGCGTGAGATCAGGCCACTCCGGCGCTTCAGGGCCGCCTGTTGAGAGCCACGCTCACAGAGGAGGCTCAGTCCGTTCCCGGGCGGTGCCGACTCTCTCATGTTGTTTTAGAATGAAAACGGTTTTCTCACGTTTCCGATCTTCTCTTCACAGGATCAGAAGAGGAGTCCGGGGTGTGAGCACACAGTATAATCCCAAATTGTGCTGCTACAAGGAGACTTGATGGACAAGCAATTCCAGAAACTTGTTAAACAGTCTTCCAAAATAATTCCATACTGTTATTGCATTGAATACATGTCCTCTAGTTGCCCCAAGTTCCCTAAATATACTGGAGATCATCTGTGTTTTTTGACGGGTAATTTCCATTGGCCTTATTGGAGTAATATGTTTAGTCCACGAATTGCGTTATGGGAATCAGGACAGAAATCACAACAGTGATTCAGCAAAGCCAGTGTGAGTGTCGCCCGCTCTCCTTGACGTGAGATCAACTCATCAAGTTGTACAATATGAAAGTAGCACAAGCGCAGAATGATTTGACAAAGTTTTTTTTCCATCCTTACAAAAAGACTAAGAAATATTCCATGAATCTATTGCATGAAATGTCAAAAATGAAATTATTTTTCTATATTGTTTATATTTGGAGCATAGCTCACTCTGCGGGTGTTGTGCCAGCAATTCAACCATGAGGATTTGTTCCTCAGTGGCCCCAGTGTGCCAGCCCAGGGGTCGGTGTGGTGAATCATGGCCTGAAGAGAGCTTTGTCCATTCCTCTACTTGGACATGTATTTATTTTTTTCCCCAAATGTTTGAAACATCTTGAAATTTCTGCATCTGGAACTTGGGTCTCCTGGAGGCTGTTAATCACAAGGGAAATTGACCATATAAAGTGGAATGACGTGTTGTGCGTATTGCAGTTAGGACTTCAACAAAGAAGTCAAAAACACTTCCCAGTTTCCTCAGTGACCCATTCTCTGTGCCCATTGCCATAGGAAGGAGCAGTTAGAGATCACAGTCTCTCTGAAATGCAGAATTACTTTTCCCCATTTCTCTCACAATAAATCAGCCCACCCTGCATTTCAACGTGGCACATTTCTCCTTTATAAGCTTCAGTAAACAGCTGTAGGTTCTTGTGATCTTGTGAGCCTATATAGTCTATTAGAATTAATTAATGTATTAACATGCGGCCAATTGCCTTATTCTCACTGTATAGGAAATGAGTCCATAATTGTGACAGGGTTTTATGTGAAATCAGTCAAATTCACTGCTTCAGGGAGACAATCCTAGACGATTAACACTCAAGAGACACTTGTGAATGATTTGAAGACGCCGATTTTCCAGAATTAAGAGATCGTACTCTTTCGTACTCTGGTTTCATTTCGGTTGTTTTCACCGAGTGGTTTTGGGATCATGTCAGACCTTTTAATCGTACTTCAGCACTTTTCTCAGTACAGCTGTATGGCTGCCTTGTGCTGTGACTGCTTAAGCAAGCAGGAAATAAGAAGTCTATCCCTGTAGGACCACACTAGCCCAGAGAACAGACCTGCAAGTAAGTTTCTCGGACCTTGGGAATAGATTTGATTAGGCAATGAGCTTGCAGAGCTCATGGTTTCCCTCAGTTTTGTCACCCCTCAAGCAGAGACATGACTCCATGGTAGCACTGAGAAATGTGCTAACTTTGCATTCTCAGAAACCGGCCTGTTCTTTTTTTGTCATCATCTTGACAATTCGCAAAATGGAATTTTTTACTCTCCCCTCACCTTTAGGTGGTGTCTGAAAATGGTATCAAGGAAAGTTTATAACCTCAGTTTGTTTTCTTAGTATTTTCTGTATACAATAAGGTGTTCTAACCTGCTTTCTCCAGGCTACCTCACAGTACAAGCAGTCTGAACAAGTGGAGTGATGGAGGACTGTCTCCATAGTTCAGCAGGAATTCCTTTAGCTCCCTTCAGTCACTGTATACTTTAACAAGGAAATAATTATACAAAGCAGACTTCTCTGTACCTCACAATTCTCTCGGATGGCTTTTCTGTACAACTGTTTGAATCCTGAGGCAGTGAGGAGGCTCAGAATGATGTCACTGAGGACTGCGGTATGAGTTAGCAATTCAACAAAGGCAGCTGTTTCATTTTTTTTTATCTTTTGTTTTTCAATTGTTGAGAGAAAAAAATTGACTGAAAACTTTGTACAATTTACAAAACTATATTGCTGTTTAGTTGTTCATGTTGCCTAGCATTATTTTTTCAGAATGTTTTTTTTTAAAGCAGCAGAGACTGGGGTCTGTAGGCTAGCCTATACAACAGTGTTTTCAATAATGTTACATTTTTAATTGGACGGTTTTGTTTCTTTCCAAAACATTTGAAAAATGTTGGGAAGCTCATACTAAACCTATCAGGCATTTAACGGGTTTTAAAATGTGTAGCGGGAAAAAAAATCTGTAGCATTTGCAGGTTTTTAAAGTACAAACTGTGTACTATTTCCAAGCTCGACCTTGCGTGGATTGCAAAGCTGGTAGTGAAATGTCTAGAACTTTCCCCAAAAGTACAGCCTGAATGGAACCACAGCGAGAATGTGAATAAGGACTTTTCTGTTTGTTTTTTGCCTTTATGGAAAAGTGGAAGTGTTCTCTCAGACAGGAGGACAGCGAAAAGCCCCAGTGTCCTGAAGATGAAGTGGTAATAGCACTTAGCCAATTCTACAGTATGTGTAGTCCGGCAATCAGGTATCATTACAAAAGCAATTCTGTTGCTGCCTGACAGAATCCTGGGAACTCCCCCCAAAATCTTTGTGATTAATGCCCTTTCAGTTTAGCATTGAATCATGTGATCAATAGTTGCATATATACTAAACAAAGATTTCTATTGCCTTATTTTTTAATAAAATAACCAATTCCTCAATAGACAAGCAGTAATTCTCATTCTGCACTTTTTAAATCGAATTCAAAGCTAAATAAAGAAAATGTCACAATTAAACCACTATGCAACTGTCACTGAGCTGTTTATTTTAGCTGAAATACTCTAGCAAGAATATTTTGCCCTTTAAATTTTTTTAACCTTTCAAATGTAGAATGAGCTGAAACTGCCTTTTTGTAATAGAAAGTGATCCTAATAGAGACTCAAGGGATCTGTCAGTATATTTTTCGATACTTTTATGTAAAGAAAAAGAAAAAAGATAAAGTGTTGTATTTTATATATAATAGAACATTTCAATATGGTAATATGACGCTAATATATTTATTTACTAATATATTTATCCTTTTTTGCCAGGTCTGTAAAAATAAATGTTTCTGTTCTGTACAAAAATATATATATATGATCAGTGTCATCACACATATAAAGGCCTGGCTCCATTCCAATTATATACAAATAAATTATTTTGAAATAAGTCCTCTGTCCATGTTTGTGTTCTTTGTAGAAGCAAGTTTAATGTACTTAGCATAACGTAGTGTTCATCTTGGTGAGTCTCTGCTTCATGACCTATGGCAGAAATGCATTTAAAAATCATTGTCTAATACATTCCAGGCATAACCTGGATATAAAACATCATGGATAATAATGAATCAGAAGAGCAAGACAATTCAAAACCCTATTAGGAATACAAATGGAAAACTGTGAATGGGTAATTGTGAAAATCTGAGGGAAAAAGTGTTACAGATATAGATATAGATGCTTGTATTTCCAGGCCATGACAAGGAGGCAGTATGATGGGCAATCTGACAGAAAGGCAATGAATTTTCTACCGTTTAAAAATAAATAAACATTTTACTTGAGAACAATCAGGTGCTCTATCACAATGAAAATCCTGTCTTGAAAGTAGATTTACCTCATGCCTGGAAGCAAAAGAATGCATTTTGTGTTGTAATTCTCAAATTATTCTTAAAAAAAACAAATTGCATTCAGTAAAAATAGTATATAAGACTTAATTGCTAATCTCACCTATGGGGATATTATTTGTGTAATGGTTGACTGGTGTTTGACTGAACTTTGTTTTTATTTAAAAAAAAAACAAGACAGTTTCTAAGTTTTTGTTTTATTTTTTAGTCTGAAATGAGTTTCAATGTGAATACAGAAATTATAGAGTTTATATAGACACCAATTTAATTTTAGTTTGGTCCTGGGCTATTTATACCATATATTGTACAGACCAGGCTGAGATTGTGTCTTTCTCCAAATCCAATAGGCCAAATAGGTTGCTTGAATAATATTCCTTTAATTTTTAGTAGCTTTAGACAGCTATTTAAGCACAGGGTTGTAAATGTAGATGCTCACAAATATTTTTGTGCTACGTAAATCCATACATTTGGGGGATTCAGGTTAATGAGCACTATTCTTATAAAGAGGGTTGGCCTATTAACACAATTGTAAAATTATAGTGCTAAGAAGCAAAAAAAATTGGTAAAGCTACAGAGAACAATGAGGGCCACATTCATATAGACGACAATATATGTCAGAGAGGTAGTAATAAAATGCCCAGCATTAGAGCTGTCATTGTAAGATTGATCAAATCCCACATAGTACTGTTTGTAAGTACACCACATTTGGTGAAATTCACATTACATTTGTTAGAATATATCACCTAATAATAAGCACACTGTTGCTAATTCATCTACATGGGGAGTGGGCTCGGTCCTGCACAGAGCCTCAGTAGTCTGGTCTGAGATATGTTTTAAGACATTTTGAATGTATCGCTGTTTTCTTCCTCCACAGAAAAACTACCACTTGCCGGCGGCATGAATCAGAGGATTTACTTGGGCTTTTGGGCATCTTGTTTCTTGGTTAAATTTGCATCAACTGGCCGGTCAAAATGGGATTAGATAGTGGGTTGCCGTCTTTTCATAATAAATGAATGACCCCTCTAGTGCAACTATATGGACATGTACAGGATCTGATGCGTTGTTGTTGCCGCAAAGTGTGGAGCTTAATAGAAAATCTTGGGCTCTCCCTCTTGAGTCAGGATAGTCAAGTTTCCACGGGCATCCTGGTCTTTCTCGATGGCCTCAAATAGGGATTTAAAATTCCCAGCTCCAAAACCCTGCAAAGTAAATGGGGATACTTTAAAGATCAAAGGGAAATGGAAAACCAGCATTTTCAAACTCTTCCACCTGGCTAGGCTTTTATTCAAGATGCGTATCTGCTCACTTTGTTTACATCATGCTATTAGAGGAAAGGCAAATTGCTCATGTTTTAAAAGCAGGATAAAGAGTTTCTAAATCTACCTGCAAAAATCTAAAATGTTAACTTTGCACTTGAATTGAACTGTTGAATGAAATAACAAGATACGATCATGTTTTTATACTGTGAGAGCCATGATAAATGTATTAGGAATATGGGCCTTGTAAAAAAATTCGATTTCCTTGTTGTTTCGACTGCACTTAAGGAGTTTAAGTAACACAGTTACAATATTTGTGATGTAACATTATGGAGTCACAGTCACATGGATCTTCAGTCCTGGGTCTGGCAGGCTGGGCTCATAATGACAGGAATTGGCTGTTCCTGGCTTATTTTGATTAGTTTAACCACTTCTGCTAGCCCTGCAGGTGCTGCTGCTTTAAATATTTCTGTAAAGGATGCAGACACACAGACCCTCCAGGACTAGAATTAGGGAGCCCTGATCTATTTAATTAAAAATAACATTAATATATTTTAAATCCTTATGACACATTGCTTCGTTTGGCTGCAAAATGAATAATAATCAATGAAGCTCAATCGCTACGTACTGATCATTTCTGCAGTTTTGACAAGGGTGTTGATTTTGGTCCTGCTGGTCATTTCGCAGAACCAAAACACACAGTGTTAGTTGGTTTTGCTCTGTGGCCTGAATAGAGAGGAATCTGTGGATAAACTAGGCTGTCAAGCTGTGATGGATGTTTTCTATTTATGCCTACAGGATATTTGGCTTCAAATGGAATGAACAATATAAAGAACGCTTGGCTAACAGAATGAAATATTGCCTCTCTATTCAGTGTAAAATCCAGTTATCTTCCTTTTGACTGTTTTAAAAGTCTCACATGGTTATAAATCATTCTAGAAAGTCAACGTTTCCTGTAGAATAATTTTTAAACAGTGTAGAAAATTTCTCAGCTACAAAAGTATTAATAACTTGTCTTCTACTAACTGGTGTCTGTTCTGAAACTTCCTGTGAACACTTCATTGTGCTAACACAGCCAAACCCACTGACTGACCTCTATAGCAACAACTAATCATCAGAAATGAGCAGAAGAACCAACAAATCAGACACAAAAATCAGAAGAAAGTACAAGTTACACTTTTTTTACACAAATTTCTGGATTCTTCTGCTAAGCAGATATCAGTAGCCTGGATTTATTCAGCAAAAAGGTAAATT